GGGGTGCAGGCTCCCAGAGCGCCATCTCTTTCTCCCCGCATCCCAGTGAGGATTTCTTCTGCACCCCCTCGCTCTCTGCCCCCAGCCCAGGACATTGTGTCCTATTGTCAGTGCTTCACCCCAGCCTATCCCGCAGCCTCCAGCGCTTCCAGCAAAATTCCTTTCTGGCCAGTCATTGCCTCCCCTTGGCCTCGACGCCTCTAGGGCTGGCGTGCTGGCGGGGCCGGGCTTCCTCTTCCTGAGCCGCTCCAGCCCCCGCTGTGTTCCCAGCCCCCTCCTTGCCTTCGTCCAGTGCCGTGGCATCGGCCCTTCCCTAGGGACGTGAGGGCACGGGGTCTGCCACCTGAGCCCACCTCGGGGTTCGGGGGCTCAGCAGGAGTGCCCAGTTCCCCCCGCCAAAAAAACGCATCCTGTGAGCCCCCCATGCCCTGCTGGTCCCACCACCCGCAGTGAGTTTTTGAGAGAAGGTGATTTACAGCCCTCATTAGCACAGGGAGCGTGCAGAGGATGGTTGCGGTGTGAATCGCTCACTGCGAGGCAGCAGGGAGGAGTGGGAGGCAGTGGCTGCTGGAAGGGGCCTCAGCCCCATGGAGGTGTGAATCTTCTCTGACACCCCCCTGCTGCTTCCCCTCGCCCACCAGCATCCACTCCAGCTCAGGTCTCACCAAGGCACACCCCCAGCACCGCCTGGAACTGGACCCCATGCTGACACCCACAGCACCCAGTGGGGACATCTCCCCTGCACACAGCCAGCACCCTCTTGCTCACACCTCACTGCACATGCCAGCGCTCAGCCCCAGCAACACCCCTCCCACCCCCTGGCACCCACCCACCTCAGCTTCCCATGGTGGCACCGCCTCTCATTATTAATTAAAGGATAAATGCTTTGCTTTTCCACAGTCCCCTTCACCTGTGGCTCTCTGTGCATTGTGCAAATATTAATTACTGGTAATTAATTAAATCAGGCCTCCCCATCCGCCTGTGGAGATGCTGTCTCATAAACATGCTGATAGCAAACACAGTGTCAGGGCAGGCTTTCTGAGCTGGGTGGGAGCTTCCAATTACCTGTTGCTAATGATGCAAACCCCATCTGCAGCAGTTTCTACCTAATTGACCTTCCTGGAGGGCTAGTGGGCTGGTAGAGGGAGATAGGTGGGAAACCAGAAGGACCTGGTCTGATCCCAGTAAGGGATGATGGATGGATGGATCTTTATAACTGCCCTGGGTGGTCTGTTCCTTGCAGCTTGTGCTCCTGGAAACTTTGTTCTGGGTTATGTGGCTGTGGTACATGGGGCTGCCTGGGTGAGGGTCCCAAGCAGCTGGTGGAGCTTGCTTTGTGTCAGCCTTTCAGCCCTGAGCCTGCCCTGGGGGGCTGTGCCCTGTTACCTGCGTTGGTGTTGAGCTGCCATCCCTCCAAGGTAGACAGGGATCATTTCCCATCAGCGCACCCCTCCTAAAGGGCTTAAAGCATTTCAGAGGCAGTGTAACAGTTCAGCGCTCCCCTGTCCTGCTGCTCCTCAGCTGGGATGCTGTGCAGGAAGAGGACAGGAAGGCAAACAAGGTTGTTGACCCTCCTGAAGTGGCAGGTGGGTGCTCTGGGAAGGAAGGAGAGGGATTGCCTGGGGATGCACAGCAGGAACCTGCAGGTGCTCACTGCAGCATGGCTTGGAGGATCTCTTGGGTAAGGTCCTTCTGTCCTCCCGGGGGTCAAAGCTCCTCTACACATCCTTAGGTGTTGTTTGGGGGCACCATCTCCCCCTCCACCCACCAGGTTGCAAGCTCCCTTGCTCACATATGGCTGCCCCCGTCTGGCCTGCTCACATATGGCTGCCACTGTCTGTCCCTAAGACTGTGCAGAGCACCGATCCCTGACCAGAGGTGCCACCTTAATCTGGATCAGTGGGAAATCTGTTGTGTGCCCAGGCAACCCTGTGTGGCAGCTCGCTGCCTGGCTGTGGCTGCAGCAGCTCCTCGGACTCTGCAGATCAGGCGCTGGCCGGAACATGGGGGCAACCCTGCAGGAGCCCGGCCCTGGGCAGCCTTTTGTGGAGCACAAATGCATTAATCGCTGAGCGAAGCCAGCTTAATTTCCCGCTCTACCAGCAAAAGCGGGAGCAAACTGGGGTGAGATTAAGGCATTTCTTGGGCAGCTCCCACCCCCTCACTCCAATTGCTGTGTCTTGGCCTGCGAGGCCACTAATGCTACTTATATTATTACTGGATTATTTTGGTGTAATGAGCTTTGCCCTGCTCAGCTGTCCCCTGCTCAGGGGTGTTGTGATGTGTAATACTTCCTGCGCAAGGCCACGAGGCGGGCAGCTGCCTGCTCAAAAACAAGCAGAGTCCCAGCAAAACAATGCATTAATGTTCCTAGAGCAAAATTCCAGCATGGGCCGGAGGTTAATCGCGAATTGGGGAGCTTTTGGCTTAGTGCTGAACAAAGCCAGCAGGCAGGAGGGTGGCGGTGCCCTAAGCCGGGTCCTGACACATCTCCGTGGGTACAAATAGGAGTGACTGTATCAGTTTCATCTCTGCCAGCAGTGTAATACAGCTATAAGCATCTCCTCCATCCTTGACTTCTTTTCCTCTGCCTTCCCTCCCATCAGACTTGCCAGTGCAGGGGCTTGGCAATGTGTTGCTATGGACACCAAGAAGTTTCCCCTAGAGACCAGAAGCCTGAAATAAGTGATGCCTGCATTTTTTGACATTGATTATTTTTTTTCTTCCCTTTTTTTTATTATTAATGTTTGTTTAAGTGTTGATTAATTTCCAGCCTCTCACCCCACCTCCCTCCCGCTTTTCTCTCCAAGCTTTGTGGATTGCCGTGGCTGCGTCCCAGGGCTTGGCTTCTGCTTCATTCTCCGCAAGGGTGCGAGCACTGGGTGTGTGGGAGGAAGTTTCAGTGCTGTAACCCTTGCTCTGCTGGAGACCCCTACAGAAGAGATCCCCCATTTATTGCAGCCTTGGGAGATGCTGTTGGGGTCAGGCCTGGGTTCCCCCGGGCTGCTGCAGAGTTCATGGGCGCCCACCAGCAGCAGCTGCCGCAGGAGGTCCTGGACCCCTCTTTCCAGGGCTTGTGCCTCCCTGCAAAACATGCCTGGAGAAGCATGGGTGGGGGTGCCCTGCTCCCTTTACAGGTGTCCTTCTTTGTATTTGGGACCTCAAAGTGATTGAGATCTAGACTAGTTAGTGTCTCTGCTGGTCTGAGCTCCAGGCCTGACTCCCGTTGTACAGCTCCTCTGCAGGCACTGCAGTACCCTTTGGTGCCCTTTAGTACCTCTGTTGGCCTCTGAGAGCTCTTGGCCTGCAAGAGCACGAGCAGGAGGGAAGTCCCAGCAACTCTTGGAAGTTCACATCAAGGCTGGAGCCTGAGCTTTGCTGGGGGACACTCATAGGAAAACACCTCGGCTTTCCTTGCAGCCCTCAGGTCAGACTTGGCAAGGCAGCCAGTCCCCAGCAGCTCCACAGCCCCAAGGGATGGAGCAGCGGTGAGGGAGGGTCAGCCCGTCTTCCCAGTGGTGAGCAGTGCTGCACCTCCACAGAGCGTGTCTCTGGACACTTGGCGTATGTGGCGGCATTTTACTGTGAGACAGTGTTAATGTCATTTTGACTTTTCTTTCTTTGCTTTTGAAGGCAATAATGGGCTGTTTCTATTCCCTGTCACATGATCTGCCCCGTGGTGAATGAGGAGACTCTCTGATGAGTGATCTCTGTCCTGTGTCCCTTCCTCCCTGCTCTGGAGGGAGTTCGCATACCAGGTTTCAATCAGCTGCTTCTCTTGTTCCTGGGAATGTAGTTCAGCACTGGGTCAGAAAGTCTCTGGTCCATTGAAATCCTGCCCTTTGCTGCTTGAGTTGCCTAAATTGCAACTCCCTCTCTGAAATCTTACAGCAAACAAGTCCTTTGCTGCTTGGCACCTGTCTGTAGCAGTTAGCATGGTCTCAGCCAGCCTGGAGCTCCTGTGAGCAGCCCATGCGCTTGCAGGTGGGGCAGGGAAAGCAGGAGCTGCTCTTTAAAATGTTTTCTGTGTGTGTTTGGGGATTGTGCTGAGACAGCAGAAAGACCCCCTGCTCTGTATGATTCCTCCCCTGGAGTGTGGGGCGAGGCTGCAGAGCATCAGCCCTTTGTGGTAGTCTGCAGAGCTGCTGGAGGGGGATGAGGAGCAGAGCTGAGTCCCAGGACCATCTGCAGCAGGAGAAGGTTGGCTCTTGCCCACAGCTCTGGGGGAGGCGTGTTGCCCTCCCCTCCCCTGTGGCCCCTGGCTCAGCACAGAGCCTCCACGCGCCGTGGTGCTGATCCGGAAGGAGCAGCGGGGCTGGGATGCTGCTCCTCGTCGAGGAGGTGAGAGTCCCACCAAGGCCAAACACTCAATTGCTGTGATGTTTGAAAGCTCCTTGAAAAATGACTTCTTCATCCAGTTCCTAATCAAACAAGTGGAAGCTCCAAAAAACAATAGTTCCTTCCCATGCTGCTGCCAAATCAGTGCTCGCTGGCGTGTTTCTGAGCGGGTCAGCAGCAAGCCAGGACTGCCCGAGGGCTGAGCGGAGTAGAGCCAGTCGGTAACTAGTCCCTGCGTTGTCCCTTTGCACCTGCTTAGGAGATAGGAGAGCATCCAGGGGGCTCTGCATGGCTTTGGGGAGATGGTGAAGGTGACCTGGTTGTCCATGCAGGGACAGAGAGCAGTGCCCAGGCACTTGCAATGCACAGCCCTTAGGACTGCAGACCTGTGAGCCAAGCATGGGTAGTGGCTCTTTTGTAGGGACAGGGAAACCCCAAATCCAGAAAGGGAGATGCACCCAGCTCAGAGTCACTGGGCACCAGCACGGTCTCGGTTGTTGTTTGCCCTTAGTGATGACCTGATGTCCGGCTGCTGTGTCACAGCCACCGGAGGGCTCTTCTGCAGCCGCTGGGCTGAGGTGAGTGCCGTGACGCCCAGCTGTGTCCTGAATTCTAACGGACCCTTCCCGTCTCACTTTTCCCTCCCTCCTTTCTGCCAGCAGTTCCCTATCAGCAAAACCCCTACACCCCTGGGAGCAGCTCCACCGTCATCCAGTGCTACCGCTGCGGGGACACCTGCAAGGGAGAGGTGGTGCGTGTCCAGAGCAATCACTTCCACATCCGCTGCTTCACCTGCCAAGGTAGGACAGTGCTGCCTGAAGAGCTGGTGACCAGGTTGCCCCACAGCCCTCGGTGCAGTCTGGAAAGCAAAAGGCTGGGGACAGACCTACCTGGCCCACTGAGATGTGGTCACACACCTGGGGGTGGCAGCTTCCCGCAGGGGTGGTTGTGGCGTGGTGCAGGCGGGGAGGTAATGGCACAGGGCTGGCACGGTGCAGGCAATGCCCCTGCATGATGCCAGAGCTGGTGGGCTGTGAACAGGGGTGGCTGAGACCTGGGCACCGTCACTACCCTCGAGCTGCCCGAATGCCAATAGCTCGCACTGCACCAGTCACAAACATACCCATGGCCCATGTATGGGGGGGCCACCTTGAGCCACCTGCCTGCCCCCAAATCAGGAGGAGGAGGAGGAGGCAGCCTGGTGGAGAGGCAGCAGGGTGGGGGAGATGCCCGGAGCAGCTCCTGATGGGGCTGGGGGTGGGTGACAGATAGCTGCCACCCACACGTGGGATGCAACCGAGGTGCCGTGGGACGCCGTGTGCTGCAGCTGGGGCTCGGCAGCCCCCGGGGTCTGGCAGAAATAGAGGAGAGAGGTTGCTTGAATCCTCCCTGAACACAAGAGGAGAGCTGTGGAGCTGTAAAAGCTAACAGCCCAGAGCTGACACTGAAGGGCTCCTTAGTGCATTTATTAAAGCAGCTGCTCTGAACCAGGGCAGTGGCCACTTCTGTAGGTTGTAAAGCATCCCATTACCACAGCTTTTTAAAGGTCTCTGGTCTTCCAAGCTCCCAGCACCTTGTGCTAAGCAGGACATAAATCCCTGTCCCCTTGGCCGTGCTTTGCTGCTCCTCCCCTGGGGACAGAGGGTTTGGCTGGAGGGGACTCTTCCCCTGGGCTGTCACCACCCCTGCTGTAGCCCTGTCCCCCATGACATGGGCAGCCCCGGATCTCTGGGAGGGGGTGTGGGCCCCGGGTTTACCTCAGGGCTGACCTGCAAGTTCAGGGCACTGTGCCGAGCACCTTCCCGGCTCCACGTGTACAGGAGCGAGTGGGAGCTGCGCATCCAGACAAAGAGCTCAGACAGCCGCTGGCTTCAAAGGGGCCAGGAGCCGGCAGGGAGAGCTTGGCAGTGCTCGCTGCCTGATTTCCAAGTGAAAGGGAATAAATAATGAGAGGAAATCCTCCTGTCTCACCTTCCCTCGCAGCTCTTGTCCCCTGCCACTTCAGGCTGGCTGCTGCCAGCTCCCATCCCGACAGCCCCTGGGGATGTGCTCCGGGTCACACACCAAATGGGGCCCAGACCTGCCTCGGTTTTTCTTGCTTCTGCTTCTTGATACTGTCCAGGAGCTGGTGGCCTGTCCCTCGTCACTGATGAGGAAATGCTGGCAGGCTGTTTCAGAGAGCAGCGGGTGCTGGCCCTATACCCCAGCTGCCTGCCCACAGCTCCAGGGGGCAGCTTCGCAGGAGATGCTCTGCGGGAGAGGAGCTGCATCTCTGCCCCTGCAGGCGCTGCAGCCAGCGGGTCCAGCTGTGCCCTTGGGAGGGTGGCTGCTCTGCGGGCTGGCCCACAAGTGCAAGTGAGGTGTGTGAGGACAGGACAGAGGGGTGCTTGGGGGTGAAGGGTAAAGCAGATACCAAGATGGGCTGTGCCCGTAGATGCTCAGTTTCTCTGTAGTTTCCCCTTCTACCCTGTCACCTTGCAGGACAGGTGATGGGCGTCGTGCGAAGGCCCCAGGACCTGGTCCCTGTGCCGTTCCTGAGGTGCCTTCCAGGGTCTGATACTCTCGAGGTCTCTCTGTGGGTGGAGGTGACGTAGGAGGGAAATGACACTAAGGGCAAGGGCTTGCCACGTCTCCTTGGATTACTCTGACAGGCTGTGCACCACCCACGGTTCCCACAGCAGGGACGGAAGCGAGGTTGGGCTGGACACCTATGGAAAAACAAGCAGTGAGAGCACCAACCCCAGTGTGTCCCAGGACCTGTTCCCATTAGGGCACAGCTTCATGTCCAGGCCAGGGAGTGGAGATGGCTCATCATGGAGAAGGCCAAGCCCCAGGATGTGAAGACCTCTCCCCAACTGTCCCTAGGGTGTGCCCAACTCTTTGCAGTCTTGTTCTTGGCTTCCCAACACCCTGTGAGTGTCAAATGGAGGGGCTGAGCCCCATCCAGGTGCCGTGGGTCCAGGAGGGGATGTCACGGACCCTCCTGGGCTGTTTGTGCAAGGCGGGTTGGGGCTGCAGGGGTTCCCGTCCCTGCACTGGGGTTTCCTCCGGGAGTGCCCAGCCCTGGCTGCTTGGGCAGCACCATCCTGCACCCCACCACAGCCCAACACTGACATCTTGTGGTGCTGGGGGAAGGCCCCAGTACGGCTGGTGGGAAGGGAAACCCTCTTGAGGTGCAGCAGAGGTGGGCTCAGAGATCACGCCCGGCGCCCGGGGGCCACCTACCTGCTGGCCCCTTGACCGGTGCGTGTCCTCCCCCCGCAGTGTGCGGCTGCGACCTGGCCCAGTCGGGCTTCTTCTTTAAGAACCAGGAGTACATCTGCACCCACGACTACCAGCAGCTCTACGGGACTCGCTGTGACAGCTGCGGGGACTTCATCACCGGAGAGGTCATCTCCGCCCTGGGGAGGACCTACCACCCCAAGTGCTTTGTCTGCAGCACCTGCAGGTGAGCTGAAGACGTTTCTGAGAGCACGCAACACCCCTGCAGAAGCCCCATGCAGCCCTTGGCCATGCACCAGGGAGAGGGGTGTTTGTTAGCCCACAGCCCCTTATTCCCTGCTCAGCACCTCAGCAGGAGCCTCCTCTGCGTTTTCTTAGTGGAAACCCTTGGGAAGCAATGAAATGGCTCCGACCCTTCCCTTTGCAGCCTGGAGACCTGCCTTAACACCTGCATTGGTCCTCCTGCCCCACCATGCATTGCACACTCCCTTGTAGCTGTTACCTGGAGCCCCTCTGCTCCCCAGCACCATGGGTCTTGCTGGCTCCTGGGGAAGGAGCTCACAGGCAGCCCCAAACACTGTGTGGAGAGGAGCGAGCTGCTCATGTCTCCCCACCTTTTCTTTGGTCACAGGAAGCCATTCCCTATCGGAGACAAGGTCACATTCAGTGGGAAGGACTGTGTCTGCCAAAACTGCTCCCATTCTCTCATCAGCACCAAACCCATCAAGATCCATGGGCCCAGCCGTAAGTTGACTGCTCTTGTGTTATGTGATGGCTGCAAGGAGAGGGACCGCCTGCCCCTGGACCAGTGCTCAGGGAGGTGACAGGATGGCCTTTGGGGCCAGCATGCAGCACTGCACGGAGCCACGGGCATTCGTGGAGTTTTTGGAGGAGGAGCAGGGTAGTCCCATGGCTCCACCTGGGACTGCAGGTCACCACTGGTTTCGGAAACTCCCTTGGCCTGTTTGTGACCTGGGCAGATGCCGCCACGCTGGTGGGTGATGTCTGGGGCAGTGGGAAGGTTTTGGAGCTGGGTTTGCTCTGAGGCGGGGCCCAGATGTTGCTTTGTGTCCAGCTGCAGCAATGTCTTTGTCCGAATGCCAGCACCAGGACTGTTCGCCCAGCTTTCACAGTGGCGTTACTCGCTGCCTCTACAAGCACTGAAAGGGCTTCTTATGCTCACTCCCTCACGCTGATGAAACTAAGCTAAAACTCATAAAGAGCAATGGACAGGCTCTTTTGGGTGGATTTGGCCACAGTTTTGACCTCAGGTTGTTCCTTGGGATACCCTCTCTTCATGCCATTCCCCTGTCATGGGGCTTTGCCCCCCCAGTCTTTCCTTGCTGCTGGCGCTCTGCCCCGGGCTGCTGCGGAGCATCCCATGGGTGCTGCGCTTGGGGGTTGGTAGAGCATCCCTGTGGCGTGGAGCTGCTGCATGCAGGGCATGCTTCAGCCCATGTCCAGAGCAAGGGGACTGCAGCATTAATGTCCATGCTTCCCTGTCTCCCATATGCCCCGTGTTTGCTGCTGTCAAGTCCCAGGGGAGCTGTCTCAGTGCAGTGCATGGACAGGTGGCAGAAGGCAGGGAGAGCTGGGACCTGTGTCACACCATGGTGCCCAGACCCTGCCACATCAGCAGGCTGAGCCACGGGGAGGCCAGGTGGGGGCCCTTGCTGCTGCAGCTGGGCAGACCTTGGAGCATCAGTGCCTGGAGCTGAGCCCTGCAGCCAGGGCCGGACCCAGGACTGTGGTGTCACCCATGGTCCTTGTCAGCCCGTTGCTGTGGTGGCACTGGTGGTGGCTTGGATTGAGTTATGAGTTGGTCCTGATGGGTCCCTGGGAGCTCCCCCAAGCTGCCTCCCCCCAGCTCTCACCATGGCCTTGGTGCAGTTAGGGGACGTGGCGGGGTTTGAGTGAGCCCCAGCCAGAGGACAGGGCTTCCCCCATCTTCCTCCAGCAGCACCCTGAGCTGCCCAGAGGCAGGCTGTGGCCAGCCCACAGCACCCCACTGTCTCCCATAGCA